AAAAATTTATATGATGTTCGCATGAGTAGACATAGATGAACCTACATACTGATACCTCGTTAGTACTATATTTCTATGCATATTAATTCCGGATATTCCGAAATAAACGAACTCAGCAATTAGCATGATCCTAATGAGGAAATTCCACTCGCTTAGTGAAAATTAATAAAATAGAGAACCTAACTCCAAGATCTGTTAGCCACATCCATCATATATACGATCGTGTTTTTCAATTTCTACCATTCAAGTTATTTACGCCGGTCCTATAAACCAAACGTTTAACTCATACAGTAGCTGGACTAACATTAAATATACCCGTAAACATATTATACAGAATTTTACGATCTTCACTGTATTTAAGAAGCGCTAGTAGTTCTAGGAAATCGCTACAAATTATAGACTATTAATACGGCCTTTTTGGGACGACGTGTTTGTAAAACACGTCACGTTACAGAGTCAATAAAAGGAAAGAACGATAGACTCATTGATCTACATTAGCAGTGGAGCATTAAACTAAGGTAGAAATGATACTCGGCCTATGAGTACTCGAAACAACGGTATGATGAATCATGCATCCTATGACTTTAGGTCTGACGATAGTTAGAAGCAAAGCCAAGCCTATTTTTTGGCCTGTGTTTAAATACTGGAATCGTCCATGCCGATGAATACTATGTGCAGATTCGCAGTTTTTTAAAAAATTCTCTGAACTTTTCTCTCTCTGCCATTTTGTCGTCGACTCTGCCATTGTGTCGTCGTATCTTGACGCAGCTATCCATGACACTGCAGTGTTAGTGTGACAATTTTTCTTCGATAGAAAGGTTTTCTAAACTAAATTTTCTACTACAACTAAACATTTGATAGAAATACAGTTTAACAATATATGGTAAGCTAAATAGACAGGTGCTAAATACTATCTAAGGCTTGATGAGAATAAACTTCTAGATCAATCGAGACTAGTTTGGCCGAAAAAAATAATTAACGTACGTTTGGTTTCTGGGCTTCTATTTTATTATGTTCTTGATGGAAAATTTTCTCACTGAAATCAATGTATCAGATGTTTGCTCACTAGGGTTTCAATTACGTAAATGGCACATTTAATGAAGCCAACACTCAGCATAACAAGCCTTTTAATCGTAACACACCCACTTGCTTCTCCGCCATTTTTTCCAGATTGAAAAGAAGCTCTCGCCCAGATACACGTAAATTTTATTTATTTAATTGTTTACTACGATGTTTACAACTGCCTGTTTAGCATAGTACTTGCTTTCTCATAAATACTTGTACGAACATCTATTACCCACTTGTTATTTAGCAACTTAGTTTATCATTTGTCCACATTGTAGCAGAGTCGACGGGTCTGCCTGTCTGTAAACAACTGAGGAAAACATTAATCGTTCGGGACTAATGCTTCAAAGGCTTAAAGAAGCACGTTTTCGGAGCAGAACAGGGATGTAGGGAGCTAGACCGTGTCGTTTGAAGTACATGTGAAAACGTTACAAGTGAGGCTGCTTGTAGCTTGCTTGGCGTGCTGGTGACACCAGCATTTGATGAGCATGTAATATGCCCCTAAACGAAGCCAGTCTAATGGCGACAAAGACTATCCTCTGATGCTTCTTCGAAACAGTGCGTTTAGATAGCGTATTTCCTAAATGGTTGATCCATTATATGAAGTATTATAATTCGAAGTCTAAAATGTGCTCTGAGGCGTCCTTATTCAGCGAACCCCAAATCGCAGCTTTTTGCTAAAGGGCTTACATGTATTCACATAGCTACATAATAGACTAGGGAACTGGACGGATTTTTTCACATGCAGCTAATTAAAGTGATATACAATGTTGTATAAAATCAAAAAAACACGCTTCAATTTTTATTAAATGAAGGATTTACTATTTGTGATGACGAGATGATTGCCGTTTAGTTTAGGTATGGCATTCGGATTTACCATTGACACAAAGCTATTTCCTTGTTGCCTTCAGTTCAGACAATCAGGATTAGGAACGGGTACTTTGATGTTCATTAAGCTAGTCTACTTTCTACTTTACCCCCTTAGCTTTGATCGATAATTCGTCATTACAAAAACTAGCATAAAAGCTGCACCTGAGAGCCCTCTTTAATGATCTTTCAAATCTGTAGGAAGAACTTCAGCTGGCACAAATCCACAGTGGTTTTTTGGATGCACAATTTTCGAACAAAACTTTTCCGCTACACTTACTGATACAAGGTGTCGATAACTACGTCAAACCGCAATCACGTGTTTTGAGCAAGTTATAGGTCATTTACGGCCTGAACCCTACGGCCCTAAATGGTTGATCCATTATATGAAGTATCGTAATTCGAATTCTGCGGCATGACTATCAAAAAGGCATCCAGTCTTTTTTACAATCGTTTCCTGCGGGGGCGGTCACTTCCATGAGCAACCTTGTGTACTTATATTCCAAGAAAAATTACCAAAAGGTCTAAATGGGTAATAACGATCTAATTTCAGGACATCCAGTTACCGATAGCTAGAGTACTTGTTAGTGCTTGTTCTTGATACTCCACCGCATTTGTATGGTAGGAATGTGTTCGCTTAATGCTCGGACGTATTCGCCAGAATTCTGTTCTGATATTCTTTTCCTCCACCAAACATGCTTGACAAACGGAACGTCACTAAATATCCTATCTTTTATCAATTTTTGTATTAATACTTGGCGGACCGATGTTTCCTACAAGATCTAAATTATTAAGGGAAAAATATTGAAGTTAAATTATTAAGTCGAGCGAGTTTTGTATACGGAAACCTTCAAAAAGTATTTTTTTTACATGTTATTTAGCGCAAACGGAGGTTTTACATGGACTTGCACCCATGTGCATTTTTACATATTTTTTCATATATAATGTAATTAGTCGTAGATGAAGTAAGTCTGTTTAACCGGTATGATTTACTCACTATAGATCTCGGTACGCTTCGGTCTGCTACTTTTGTCCATTGGGATACAACAATGTTCTACAACATTTTTACAACACCTTACCTAATTGCCTAGACTACTTCGTGACATGACATTTAATATTTAACATTTAGCAACTTGCCAGGTAGTTTGATAGTTTAGAAGAAGGAGTTCACATGAGTAAGTATAGAGTGCTACGGCAGCCATCCAGAATTACCTGAGCATTGACGCGATAGGCGATTGCATTTACCGCTTCTTCAAATAACCAGTTTGGGTTAACGATAAAATGCACATAAATACTGGAATTTTACATGCTTATTATATGTACACATGTTGTATGCGATAGGCGGAATGCTAAAGTCACTCGAGTGAGCGCACTCATTTGTGAAACTCTCACGAGAGACCTCTCACTGTTCCGTCCCATCTCATGTACAATTTCCTCGACGTACGTAGTAGCTAGTTTAGGTCCTTCCTTTCTGGCCACTACTAAAACACAAGTGAGTTAGATTGTCCAGCTTTTTTTCCTGCCAGGGTTCCCGCTAGGGCTCGTCTGGGGCGCTCGAAAGATGACAAGCACATTCGAGATAAGACCACATATTTGACATCAACTAATGGCAGCATGTTACGCAGTTATTGACAAAGACCAAAGCGAGTAGCGGCAGCAGAAATACTGTAGTACTCAAAACCACTTTCGGTTTCTTCATTGTCACTTAGTGGCAGTCTTTTTCATCATCATTAATAATTCAAGTTACATGCTAGCTTATACGCAAGTTATTACCGTTGCCGCTGCCATTACGAGCCTTCCTCAGAACCGGCAATGGCGGTGATAATCTCTCACACTGCGGCACGACTGCCACTCGGAGGCACCAAAGGTCTTTTTGACCTTCAAATCTCCGAGGTGAGCCAGTAGGGGAGTTCTGTTTTTGCTGCGATTATTGATTCCAGCTGGAAGGAAACTAGTTCTGCAGGAGGGGCGCATGCGCCCCCGTCATCGAGCGCTGCATGGAACGGCAAAGATATACTCAGTCGTTCGCTCGCTTATCTTTCAAAGGAGAGTGCGATGTGTGGAAATGGTTAGTAATGATGATGATGCGAACGATAACAGCGGCGCCGGGCGCCGTGCAGCAGTCTACACAGAACGTCAGGTGCCAAGAGGCCAGAAATGATATGTATATAGTAAAGTGGAAATAAAGTAAGCTGGAAAACCGTCAAACGCGAAAGGTAAACATAAGCCCGAGTAATGGTAGAAACAAACTCTATGGAGCACTTGTGAAGACTTTCGTTATTTTTCAATCGGCCCATCCTTCAACGCATCGCCGTAGACCTTAAGATTGTCGCCCCTTAGTGTTACCATTGCGTTGTTTTGCACGTCAGAGTTGTAGCGGAGCTCGGTTCGCGACAGCTACAGCAGCGGCGACAGCTGCAGCCACAGCCAATGCAGCTGTAGGACAGCGGTGGTGCTCGTGGCGGCGGCGGTTCCAAGGGCCTGTTTGTGTGAGTAGAGTTGTTCGGGGATTAGTGTGTACAGAAGAGGGTGCAGGGTCTTTGTGTCTGGGCATCCACTGTGTCCAACGGTATGTAAGTCCGGCCACAGGTCCGTAGGCTGTGTGAGGGTCTGTTGCAGGGCAGTAGCGGCCGCTGCTGCTGCTGCTGCTCTTGGCGTACGGCGTCGTGTGCCTCGATGTGGTCTGCCCACTGCAGCATCCGCCGTGCACGCCTGCCTGCACCCTACGTTGCAGAGAGAAAGACGGGACCAGTCTGGAGTGTGCGCATACGAAACATACTGAACCTCGCCAATGGGAGTGAACAAGTGCTCGAAATACAAGTGAGAGAGTGAGAGCCGTATATGCATACAGATGGTGGGGAAGAGAGGATTTGGTGAGACCACGCGGAGAGGGCGTCCTCGTTAGGTCCTCTCCCAGTCCTCAAGTTCCATATCCTAACGCGAACCTTTCCGTACGGCCGCTGCGGAAATACCGACCTTCTGCTACTCCACAGTTTTTCTGCTGACAGTGTGTTTGCCTCCTGAACAGCAGTGGGCATGTGCTGCTGTACGCAACAATGGCGCGCAGATTCAGCGGTTACTCTTTGTTCGTGTGCTGTGGCGTTTAGCTGCGTCCATTTTTAAAATTCTGTGGCGGTTTAACTATGCCAGTGAATTTTGTTGATTAAAATACGGCATGCGAGTGGTTAGGTGTTCTGCGAGATGAACGGCATAATTACGCGATAAGATTAAACCATCTTTACTTGATACTTAATGACCTACAGATGGTGATAGTTCCATAAGTGAAAGTTCAAAACCTTTGTTGTGAATTGCAGCTTCGCCTTGTCCGTGAACTCAGTTACGTTATAGCGAAGCAGCTCATACAGATACCAATGGCCGAAAAAAAATAGTTCGTGCGGCTATAACATATAGCCAGGGCGTATTAATCTGCCTACGTTTCGCTTATTGGGTCTCAATAGCTTTTTGACTATTGCGGCCGCTCTGAGTGCACGAAGAACAGGTGTATGCTACTAATGGGGCACCGAGTGTTTGTGTAGCATCTTGAAGTTGAATTTGGGTTGCGCGTCAAACGGTGCGATGTATTCTGAATGCTTCCGCGCAATTTTGAGAACTTGCTCCTTCACTAGGATTGCTACAGCCGTCCTATCAAATGTAGTAACTTGTCCATAGAGTTCTTAACGTGCAACTGACCTAATCACTTGGACGTGTGTAATGTCTGCAGCTATAAGTAGTGGGCACTCCTCCTGGTACAATGCAACGAATAATGAAGATATGGTTGAGGGTGAGATAAGGAAGATCTGGAAATACTGTATTATGTATAGGTGATGCAACAATACCTTAATGGCAACACGGATAAAAACTAGGTGTTAATTCAGCGATTACGCCTGCTGCTACTACTGCTTCTGCTGTTTAGATCTGCTGCTGTGTTGATTCGTTATTTCTGCTGAACACCTGCGAGCCCATCGCGGCGTTGCTCGTGATAATAACGTCTTCCGCTTCAACGAAATCACGATTTTACGAATATTGATTAAAATGACAAAAAGGCGTATATCTCGATGCAGTTATTGGTGCATGAGGCGCTTCTAATTGCCTAAGCTTAATCCTAAGCTATTTAAACGGTTATTGCTCTAATAAGGAGCCGTGACAAAAGTAGGATATAATCGAGCTAAGCTTTACCAACAAGCTAGCTTCCTGTAGTTTTTAACGAAAGAAGCTTAGCAAATATACAGTCATGCAACAGTCGAAAGATGTCCAACGACTTACGTTTTGCTGACAGCTCCCACTTGAATATTCTCGATCTTCTCCACTTAGCAAGACAAAGGCGGCCTTGCGACGCGATAAGTGAAGCGATCGAAAAGAGAGCTGATCCCTGAGCTCATTCAGATAACAACGAACTGTTCAGTCATTCGCAGCGCCAAAAGACCCAATGTAAATTTAGGCATATGAACATTGGGAGACACGTCCGCTCAGCCTTTATCTTTGAACCTCTTTCAAATCGCGGATTTCAGTTACCACGGCTGTTACAATTAATGTTTTTGATACGAATAGTGTTATTACTTATTCAGCATTAGTAAAAACAACAACAATAATAAGTGCCGAGTCAGTGATAAAATCTACCATTTCGCCATTAGCATTTCCACTCATCTTGACCATCTCGCTGGAGTAAGGCAGTGTGAGGGTGATGGCGCTTAAACTTCACCTTAAAAGATTCAACGGCCTCAAAGACCGCAGTGTGTGGCAAGCTCGGGCCACGTTCAGAGGTGCGTATATAGCAAATGATTTCAGTGCGTAGAAAATACTTTCGCGTCAGATGTCCGACCATCAGGAACTGTAACTTCGTAAAAATGTCAAGTTACATGCACAACTTCGAAAGTCGCAATCAAACAAAATATAGGGTGAACGATGAAAAACGTATTATGAGTAGGAAGTCTAAATAGTTCAATAGTCTTCAATGTTGAATGAATGATTTTGGTATAAAATGATAGACAGGACAAAGAAGTAAATCTGGTTCAGATGATGGCATTTAAGCCTTTCAAGTTCACATAATGTATCCACGGTTGTTACCATAACATTTGCTTATTTGACGTTTATACCACAGGTTTTTAACTGATCATTGAGCTACCTATGATGATATGTAAGCGATTGCTGGCGGGGCAGTGAGCTGGCAGCGGTTTTCGTTTGTGGCGCAAATTTGGTGGCGTCGGGATTGGGCTAACCCGGCAGTATGACCATGCACAGAAATTTGCTTTGTTTTCTATTCTAAAGACATTCAGATATAATATAAAATTTCATCCATTCGGCGACATGCCAACGTCTTCATACTGTCTCAATTTCTGAAGGCTGTTTATATTTTAAACGGCGATGTAAAGTATGACCCAGAAGCTATGACGGGCCGTGAATGGCTATGAAAATCCTACAGTTCACACGCCACTGTGAATTTTCATGACATCCATTTAGCGTGACAACAGGCGAATTTGTTTTTGTTTTTTTCTTAGCCTCCTCTGTACTGTTCTTTTTTTTTTTTTTTGTGAACGAGGTACGCGCATGGGTTGCAAAAAGTCGAGGACGAACCATGTAGAGCTCGCAGGGAAGGCAATCCTAAGTATACTTGCACATGTTATATCCTTCGATAGTCTCATTCATTATCGTTCCTGAAAGGTGCGATTTTTAATGTGTTATTAGATTACATCTTCTACCTGTTAGATGCCGAATAGGCCAGAGATGAAGTATTCAAAAGGACTTTTAGGAAAGGGTGTAACGATTGGGAACAGAAGCTTCGGTGCTTACTGTACATATCTACGGTGCGGTGTGAAAACATTTTCTATCGTTAATACCGTAGACGTTTTGATGAATCATGCACTCAGGATACCCATTTTAAGTGTTCCCCCCCAATAGTCTAATGTAAACTGACATGAGCGCCCAACATGTGCGGGAGCTAGATTCGTCAAAATTTAGCTTCTTTTAAATTTCGGAGGTGTCTAATGATCGCAGTACAGCTGCAGTTACATATCCAATATCCTACTTTACACTGAAATATGACTTTCCTTATACCTCGTGACATTTCGTAAGACAAACCGAACAATTTGATCGTACAAAAAAAAATGACTGTTCAGGGAAAAAAAATATTTTGAAACAGGAACATCTCTCACACACTGGCAACACCGGCAAACGTTTTTTTTTTCCCTTCAGGTGAATTCATGACCAACATTTAGACCCGTCATTTAATGACTCTATGTATATAGAAGATTGACTAGTAAAAATATAAAGCAACTGACCAATTCCTAAAGCACCATAAGCGAAACGTATTGAGAATACGTGTATTTCAAAATTGGAGAAATGCGTTTTATTATCTTGTTTGACCGTCTGAGTAACAGTTCGATTGTATAAGTCGTTACCTTCAAGCTATTTACAGTGTAAACGCATTTAAAGATTCAAATGTTCTCTTCAAGCTTAGTTTTCTTTAAAGTTAAGTTCTTCTCTTTAAGTTAAGGAGTGCAACATTGTTAAGTGCGCTTCCCTAACAGGTGGCTGAAATAGCGGAAAATGCCAGAAAATACGAATGAAAATGCATTTTATCCATTTACTCCAACTTTACAAAATGTGTGGTTTTAGAACACTTAGGTTGCTCTCGGCTGCCTCGATTCTGTTGGAACACATGTTACTGAAATTCCAGATACTTTAAGGTTTAGAGGTAAGCCAGTTACGTCGATACGTCGGGTATCTTTCTATGGAAGATTCAGTTTGTACAGTCGTTGTAACTGCATATCAGTGCCTGTCGCTAGAAGACAGGCTCTCTTATAATAGGCCACGCGTTGTCATTTAGAAAATCAGAAGCTATCCAGAAACCAGAAATATGTATACATGTATTTACGTCGAGGTACTGCAGCTTGCGAGCAGCTGCTGATGCTTCTTGTCGAATGTTGTCGTCCCAATGGATGGAATGGAACTCAGCGTGACGTTTTAGCTCTCCGTCTAGTTCCCACCTGGATCACCTATAAAAGCAGGAGGGCTCAATCAGATCCATTGAATTACATTGCATTGAGTCCACACGTACGTATTCTGTGAATTTGCGACTCAATATTTGCGTGTCACCTTTTCTTATTCCGTTTAGTCATGTTTTTTCATGCAGCTTTGCTAGGCATTCCAATTATTGTTTCATAGGTGTTGTTGCTGTTGGCGGTGAGATTGGTGACAATGCGATCTAACTGCGTATCGCAGCAGCTCCTGAGGTTATTCTGCTTCCGCTCAGGGCAGTGGGGGGTAAGAGCGTGACACGGTGTAGAAAGAACGTCGCGTGCTTGCTGAAGCGCTGTGTCCCTGCCCAAAGCAAACACGCGGGGGAGACGCGGCCAGTCGCGATACTGCTGCTGATACAGGCAACGATAACCGGAAAGGAGCTAATTTCAGCATAGAAAAGAAAGAAACGAAGTGCGTACAAAAACCGAATCACACCGGTAAGACGCCGTGTACTAAAGGCGATAGCCAGTTGGGCATGCAGCCAGGTAGCTGGTAGATGGATGGATGGGTAGAGAAATTGAAAGCAGTCTTTATTCTCGACTAAAAGGGGCCCTGCTACTGAGCCTTGATTCCATGGATGTGTGTACCTAAGGTATTCGGAAAACGTTCATGCTAAAACGTACACACATTGAGCGGCGTCCTCTTTAGGCTGTCGCGGGCAGTAAGCATTTGCCTATAGCCATGCGCCTGTTGACCGCTTCTGTATGGAAAAAAATCGATGTGAGTGAAGGCGGTCATTGTCTTCTGAAGGAAAATTTCCTTGAGTAAACAGTGGTTGTGGTGAGAGATCGTAGCTAAAAAAAACAGAGTAAATAGCAGTATCGATTAATATTCGATACTTATGTGCTTCGTGTGCGGTCTACATGTCTGAAGTATAGGCACGCATTGCAGGCCTACATTGACCAGCATTATAATCGTCTGTGAGAAGCTCTTCGCAGCGATCGGTATAGTGAGAAGACGACAGAGAATCAGTGATTAGGGACTACACAATGTACACAGGGCGTACCGATACGTTTCAATCTATCAGCAAACGTACTGGCTGTCTTCTCTCCTTTGTGCTATGAGGCTTAAGTTATGCTAGCCACAGGCGCACGCATTGTCATGATGATTACGATTTCGAACGCTGTTACCCTGACAATGATAATATAACTCATCATTTTCTTTACCGAAAAACTTCTCGTCAATTTTTGCTCCCGTTAGGAAAATTGATTTTGTAATCTATGATGAGCAAACAATAGGTGCAAGAATTACATTTTTTTTTTTTTATTGTAATCGTGCTTGATTTACTAGCACTGGTTTACAGACTGCCTTAGCTTAGAACCTTCGTAGCTTTTCGAGCAGCAACAGCAGCAGCATGTATGATAAGTGATCCGAGCGTCTCTGTTGGAAAAGCCGTAAGCCCGCCTACATATACGGTATTTTTAACCAACTCTTTTACTGTTTATGTAAATTTCCCCATCAAAGGGATTCCGAAAGCGCGGAAAGCCTAAATTTATATTTTCCGATCTTTGAACCGTTATTCCGCCTATCTATTTTCTCGGGTTGCCGAATACACCGAGGCAACCCAGATAGCAAAAAACATCCCTAGGCTTTATTGCAAAAATTGCAGAAAGTACACAAAAAAAGTAGTTTTCCGATTGATATTTAGTATCATGCCCTGACAACGCACTGAGCCAATCGAAATACCTGGACAACGCGGAATGCTAAGCATGACTACAAAAGGAAAGAATCATTAGCGTTTTTCGTAGGCATTCGACGTAGAGATACCAGAAGCATTGCTTTGTAGAAATTTCTCAGCGAAACGATCACTCTTGTTGAGTGAGCCGAATTGGTAAATAGGCCTAATTTGTTACACCTGGAATAACCAACGCCAGGACGGTCACAAGTCAAAGACAATTATATTCAAAACATAATTAAGGTATTGGTATTGAAGGAGCGATTAGGGATCACAAATGATAGCAATTTACATTATATAGTCTATGACTGATTGTTGTCTAATACTGGCAGTTTTAATAACAGTAGCGTTTGTACAGATTTTTGCGAGGTTGCCAACTATCGGTATGACCTGGACGAAATCGAAGTTTGAAGTTATCGTACTCTGCTATTGCCATAAACAATTTAATAGAAAATATTAATTTAGTCATCAACAGTATATTAACGCTAAAATTGCCAATGTTTTGCCTCGGTTTCTTATTATATATATTACTTCTATGCTACGTAGGATACGTATTGTTGATCATTCGATATGCGTATAATTACCCGAATTATTTATATACACCCATTTATATACATCGAAATATATTTAATTGGAAAGACCGATAATTGAGGTGAACATATTGGCCACTGATCACTTCATGGCCACTGGAATGCTCCGAGTGAAAATTATATCCGATAAACTTTCGAGTTAGGCTTCATATGTAGCAAGGGTCTTATGGCAAATAGCCAAGTAACCGGACGCGTATTTGTCCAATTTGGAAACCACTCGTGATTTACTTTAGTACGTGCACGTTACCCCACTGTTACTCGAATAAAGGCGTCGGGCGCCATCGAAATGATAACTGAATTTAGACGTTCTTGCAAATTATGCTCTTAAAGAGTACGCAGAAAAAATGCCGCCCGTTTGAGACAAAGTTGGGGAAATGAGAAGCTTCGGCCAGTATCATTACTGGGTTTTTGTTTTGACCGGCGACCCGTTTTCCTCGTAATCAATCCAGCAGAAAAGTAATTCTTGAGCAACATACGA